ACTTATAGGCCTATAATATAAAAATTATGTATAAAACATTATAATATAGGGCCTAAATAAATAAATAAAATATATAGGCCTATTGCCAGTTGGAATATTTTCTGTTAATTTCAATAAACAATTTTTTCAAGTGTATTTCATTCTTAATTTTAATTCATGTTGATATTATACAACCCGAATTTTAACATTTATAATCATGTTTTCTGTATAACTGTATATTTGGAGATAAGATCTGTCAGTTCAAAACATAATATAATAAGGTGAAATGAAATAAACAAAGTACAATATAGGCCAAATTGATATTTTGAGAACGAAACACTAAAATTGATAACGAGAAAGTTAGCAAATCGAGATTTGTAGGCCCTTATTCTGTACTACAGGACTAGACTATTGTTTAAATCCAACTGTGAAAAATGTCCTCGAATCTCGCCAGGTAATTTTAATGAGGATACCAGACAGGAAGTGAGAAATGTTAACATATCGCAGTCGCAAAGAAAAATTCAACTTGACGTAACATGCATGTGACGACGTTAGAAGAGGCTTTGCCGTTTGAGCTTGAAAAATTCAACTTATCGTAAGAATCGTAACCGGCTTATTTTGTCTGCGGCCCAGCACGATCAAGACGCAGCTGTTTTTGTCCAACTTCATGTAACAGTCGTAAGAATCGTATGAAGCGTAAGAAATTCTGAACTTTACGTCGACAGGAAACCAGGCTTTAGCCATGGTCGTACGTACGTCTGCTCTGGTTTCGTCGTGCCGTAGGCGCCACCTAAAAACGAAAACAACTTTTGGAGGAGTACGCGAACAGTATCTTGGCATTGCCGTCACGCCCCATTAGTGCGTAGTAGATTGGCCGCCTAGTCAAAACGAAAAATGCCTACTGACAAGTGCAGTATACATGTGTGGAAAATCCTTGATAGATCATTCTGGGCATGTACATGGACATGCATGGGCAGTTTTAAGCAGCCTGTGATGATACGATCGTAGCTTTTACGAAAGTGATATTTCCCATGCCAAAGATGACAATAAAACGAACGCTAAAACGAAATTTATTTGACGATTTTCTTATGTAAAACATATGTATTATACTACACTATCAAATTAATACAAGTACAGTACGACCATTCTTTCACGAGCAATATGTTGATTTAATAGAGAAATTAACAAAATCACAATCTTTACAGTGTAGATGACGATGTAAGGTCCAGCGTTCGGAAAAATCGTAGTATTACTATATACGCCTACATAGTAAAAAGTTGCCGAGGCTGCCGACCTCAGAGAATTTAAGGTCGGCAAATTTCATGGGCTGGCCCGGTAAAAACCGTCGGGAGGATGGGGAGTAGAATAGCCCATAAGCTATACACTATATTTTTTCTTTATATAGTTTTGCTGATTTTATTTTGAATTGAAAATAAAATTGAAAGATCAAGTAGTAGGCTAGGTACATACAAGTGCGATAAAAATATGGTACTCCAGTTTTGTACAAACTTTACTTTCACCTCGCTTAAGTACCACCATCGCTTGGCTTGTTGAAATAAAAAAAATATTGATCAGACTGAGGGCGCAATTTATTTTATATGGAAGGCCACATTCATTTTTTTTTTTAACTCGCACATATTTATAGTTATTGTTCAGATTTTTTGGAGATTTGTAAGATTAAAAATATATTGTCATAGTTACAGTACGTACTTATACTGTATCAAAGTCATTGTGATACTGGTAATTATTAGTGAACATATCATTCAGCTAATAGGTTTTGTAGAGACGCAACAGTGTATTGTTATTTTAACCCCGTGACATCACTTTTCGAGGTAAACAATCGGCGGTGACAAGCGGCTAAAATCTGGTTATAAAACTTGCTTTTTTCCCTTAAATCCCACTTTCTGTATGAAACAACATCAAGATATGATCTTTCCAATTTATATAAAGGACCTACGGTTTGACTTTCGTTGAGGTAGGAGCTTATGCCATGGTTAAGGTGATTTTTTACTGGACTATCTTCCTTATCAACACTCTCTCTCACTGACCACTGACACTCTCCTCCTCACTCATTTTCTTCAGAGGATTTGACAGTACGGCATATTCGCCTGCCTTTCAACTTTGATGATTTACCCAACCGGGATGCTGGCCCATAATACGGATCCAGGAAATCTGGAACCGACCTACCTGGTGCAGGAGTGAGGAATGGTTTAATCCCGGAAGGGGACGCCATTTCATGTTGGTGATGAGAGGAGTTTCTGGAAGGAGTTGATGGCAACTGTCAATTACTGGAAGCAGCAGCCAGGTTTTTACTATAAACCAGTGATGATACTGTATCATTGTATCTACACCATTTCCTCCCAATTCAGAATTAGGAGTGAAGTCTATATGCTTCTCTAAATTGGACCTGCTAACCCCTTTAATGGCATCTAAGCTAATCGGCGTTAAATTTCCATGACATGATCTCCAACGGATTATCTGTTTTGAGCCCATTTTTTATTTACATATGGGAGTTCATATCCCTCTTGTCACAGAAATTAATTTTAATAGTGAAATTAAACTTTGACATTGTTTATGGGAAAAATTGCACACATACAGGTCAAAGGTAATAGGATAAAATTGAAAATAAGTGGGTTAGCAATGACAAAATTCACATGATGAATAAAGAAATCAATGCTTCACAAACATCAATTTAAAACCTGAAATCCAAGGCAATCTGGTTAAAATGTTAAAATAGATATGCAATATAAATGTGAATACAAATATAGGTATCTAAAATAACATGTATCACACAAGAAACAATGAAACAAATAATAATTGAACACCTGTGTATAAAACCAAAATGATTATGCAAATGAGTTAGTGGAGGTATTCACTAAGCTCTGTACAATACAAAACACACACGATCTAGGACTAAACGACATGCTAACAAAATCCTCTTTCAACAAAACAACGTTTAAAACACCTAACTATCACCTAGCTAATGTTTACAGTAAATCCTATTCTATTCGTAATGCAATAGCCCTGAAAAAGGGTGTACGGTAAGAATGGCCCCGGAAAAAATGGCCCCGGAAAAAATGGCCCCGGAAATAATGGCCCCGGAAAAAATGGCCCCGGTAAAAATGGCCCCATATGACAGGTAGGTAAAAATGGCCCCAATAATCAAATTATATGCATTTTTTTATTTTAACTAATTTAGTTTTTAAAAGGAATCTCCCCAATAATCAAATTCTGTAACACACAATTGATCCACATGCTTTAACTACTGTTTATTTGCATTGTTTATAACATGTAAAGTTAATTCATTTGATATTTAACAAAAGTGAAGTTTGTGGTTATCTATGAGTTGCATATTTTGGTAGTTAAAATACTGTATACTGTATGTCATTCCTCTACTTTGTTAGTGAAATAACGTTTTTAAAACTTTTATTTCTACTATCAAAAAATGTTATTCAATGGCCATTGTTTTTCAATTATCTCTCAGAACATTATTTGC